AATACTCGACTCTTATTGGCTTGCAGGTATGCATTAAAACCGTTTAATGCACAGGTAGTTCCAAGTCAGTTTATTCACCGCTTTAACAGACACACACACATGCACACACACACACACACCACTCGCACAGAGAGAGAGAGATCAGAGATCCCGCTGCGCACACAGAAACGTTCAGGAGTAGGCCAACATAAACTTGTCAACGTTGCCCTGTGACTTTTATTTATAAAATGGCTTAGATACTGGATCACTGCATTATATTCTTCAGCAACGAGGAGGCAAAATCTCTGTTTAAGTAACTAAACTCACAAGTTGTTTGTAGAGAGAGAGACGCAAAGATGCAGGTACTTCACACACACAACTGTCATCTTTCTCTCTCTCGATCAAACGATCGATAATTAATTCAAATAAATGCTATAATTAATTCAAATAAATGTGATCTAACTGCACTATTTCATCTCTGTGTCTGATTTAAAGTGGGTAGAATGCTAGAGCTAACGAGCTGTAACTGACAAAAATAATCGTCATTTTTACCCATTCGGTCAAATATTGCGCTGCAAAGAGCAATACTAGTTTTAACTTGTCTGTAACTTGGCAAATGACCATGGAATAAGTGGGATAATCAATGGTTTGCCATGCATTAAAGAATTTTAAAATGCACAGTGCGGAGGCAACAAACCTCCACTTCGTGTCGGGTGGATCTTTGCCTCCACGTCGTGCATTTAAAATCCTTTAATGCACGGCAAACCGTTGATTATCCCTTACATATATATGCATGTATGAATACGTGTACCGTTACACCCCAAATATATATATATATATATATATATATATATATAGCAAACCAATATATAATTGCACTAGAGCTTGTAAATATATAATCCATTAAATAAAATAGAGTGCTTCAAAAATACACTTGAAATATTGGACCTTTTTTGACAAACTGTTCAACGTATGATTGGGATAAATTAATCCTAATCCCACACACTAGGACAGATAGTATGTGAATTGGGTTTCCGCTGGAGTGTGTTATAGACAGCGAGAAAAAAGGAATTGTTGCCTTGTTTCTCTCAATGAGTTGCTTGTGTCACTGACCTGGTTCGTCGAGCCCTGTGTGCCAAAAATAGTCTCCCGTTGTTTCTGACAAATAGTTATTTTCAGGCCTTCCACCACAACCTCCAAACAGAGCAGGTTTCCCAGACTACTTATTTCTCATCCCTCTTAACCTTTCTCATTCATTAGTGTAGGTCTTTGTTTCCCCGTACACTCATTCTCATTGACCTCCCTCACTTTCTTTCTCTCTCTCTAACTTTCCTAAGCACCCACTTGCCATTCAGTTCATGTTTCCTCAGACTGCATGACTGCTATGTGCTCAGCTCTGCACCAGGAATAGACAATCAGTTTTGTATTGGCCTAATAACTCTTCCATCTCCTCCTCCTTTTCTCCGGCCTCAGATCTCGTAGTGCGGCCCCTCTCTGCCTCCGTGCATCAAGCCATGTCTATTTTTAAATGCCTGCATTACACCACATTATGATCCCCGGTAAGTCTCCTGTCTTTTTAGGGGACCATCAAAAATGAACACATCCATCAACCAGTCACATTTAATTTGTTTTGCGAACTCCTGGATGCTCAGGAGACTTCAGCTCAAAAGGACAGTTGTAAATGTATTTTCCAGGTACGCTGTCCTCTCGTATTTCTTGTACAGTCATAGTGGAATGACACTATTGTTTATTTGATCTATTATGAAAGCAATGATCTATTTCTGGTAAACATAATTTGTCGGACAGATGCTGACTCTACTGCATTTGTTTGAACATGAGCACAAAACTTTAAATAAAGGCTTTTTTTATATATATACCAAAGCTTCATTTTTTTGATAAAAATACAGTAAAACAGCATTATTGTATAATATAACAATATCTTAAAAAAAAAATAATTTCATACAGTGTAAAGACTGAATTTTCAGCAGCCATTCCTCTAGTCTTCAGTGTCACATGATCCTTCAGAAATCATTCTAATATGCTGATTTGCACACATTTATTTGAAATATAAATATTTTGTAACATTACAGTATACAGTACATTTATTTACTGTCAGTTAAAAAAAAAATAATGCGTCCTTTTTGAAAACAAAAAAAGTTACCCACCCTAAACCTTTGAACATTAACGTACTTGTCAATAAAAAAATGCAAAAGGTCCTAATAAAATAAAAAGACAAAGTTGCATCATCTTGTTCATCATCTACACAATTTGTACTCACTTTATAAATATTTTCTCAAACTAACTGATGTCAAAATCAGCATATGTAGTGATTGACATTTAGCGACTTTTATTTATAAAATGGCTTAGATACTGGATCACTGCATTATATTCTTCAGCAACGAGGAGGCAAAATCTCTGTTTAAGTAACTAAACTCACAAGTTGTTTGTAGAGAGAGAGACGCAAAGATGCAGGTACTTCACACACACAACTGTCATCTTTCTCTCTCTCGATCAAACGATCGATAATTAATTCAAATAAATGCTATAATTAATTCAAATAAATGTGATCTAACTGCACTATTTCATCTCTGTGTCTGATTTAAAGTGGGTAGAATGCTAGAGCTAACGAGCTGTAACTGACAAAAATAATCGTCATTTTTACCCATTCGGTCAAATATTGCGCTGCAAAGAGCAATACTAGTTTTAACTTGTCTGTAACTTGGCAAATGACCATGGAATAAGTGGGATAATCAATGGTTTGCCATGCATTAAAGAATTTTAAAATGCACAGTGCGGAGGCAACAAACCTCCACTTCGTGTCGGGTGGATCTTTGCCTCCACGTCGTGCATTTAAAATCCTTTAATGCACGGCAAACCGTTGATTATCCCTTACATATATATGCATGTATGAATACGTGTACCGTTACACCCCAAATATATATATATATATATATATATATATATATAGCAAACCAATATATAATTGCACTAGAGCTTGTAAATATATAATCCATTAAATAAAATAGAGTGCTTCAAAAATACACTTGAAATATTGGACCTTTTTTGACAAACTGTTCAACGTATGATTGGGATAAATTAATCCTAATCCCACACACTAGGACAGATAGTATGTGAATTGGGTTTCCGCTGGAGTGTGTTATAGACAGCGAGAAAAAAGGAATTGTTGCCTTGTTTCTCTCAATGAGTTGCTTGTGTCACTGACCTGGTTCGTCGAGCCCTGTGTGCCAAAAATAGTCTCCCGTTGTTTCTGACAAATAGTTATTTTCAGGCCTTCCACCACAACCTCCAAACAGAGCAGGTTTCCCAGACTACTTATTTCTCATCCCTCTTAACCTTTCTCATTCATTAGTGTAGGTCTTTGTTTCCCCGTACACTCATTCTCATTGACCTCCCTCACTTTCTTTCTCTCTCTCTAACTTTCCTAAGCACCCACTTGCCATTCAGTTCATGTTTCCTCAGACTGCATGACTGCTATGTGCTCAGCTCTGCACCAGGAATAGACAATCAGTTTTGTATTGGCCTAATAACTCTTCCATCTCCTCCTCCTTTTCTCCGGCCTCAGATCTCGTAGTGCGGCCCCTCTCTGCCTCCGTGCATCAAGCCATGTCTATTTTTAAATGCCTGCATTACACCACATTATGATCCCCGGTAAGTCTCCTGTCTTTTTAGGGGACCATCAAAAATGAACACATCCATCAACCAGTCACATTTAATTTGTTTTGCGAACTCCTGGATGCTCAGGAGACTTCAGCTCAAAAGGACAGTTGTAAATGTATTTTCCAGGTACGCTGTCCTCTCGTATTTCTTGTACAGTCATAGTGGAATGACACTATTGTTTATTTGATCTATTATGAAAGCAATGATCTATTTCTGGTAAACATAATTTGTCGGACAGATGCTGACTCTACTGCATTTGTTTGAACATGAGCACAAAACTTTAAATAAAGGCTTTTTTTATATATATACCAAAGCTTCATTTTTTTGATAAAAATACAGTAAAA